GAAAGAAAAGAAAGAAAGAAAGAAAGAAAGAAAGAAAGAAAGAAAGAAAGAAAGAAAGAAAGAAAGAAAGAAAAGAAAAAGAAAGAAAGAAAGAAAGAAAGAAAGAAAGAAAGAAAGAAAGAAAGAAGAAAGAAAAATCCACTTCGACCTTGCTGCTAAATCAGGTTCCAGAGGTGAAGCCTCAGGAACATGGAAATCACACCAGGACACTTTGAGGCCTCTCTGGGCAACTAGCAACCCCTTTAGCATGGGATACTTTGATTCCATCCTGTAGCTAGTTGTCCACAAATATCCACTCTGTGCAGACAGTCCACCTCTTGGTTTGCAAGGCTAGAAATAAATACAGCTACTTCTCCGAGACACAGTTACTGACCATAATGGTTCCTTTCTTCCCAAGAGCAAAAGCTGGAATTCTCCCACCTATTAACAGCTGTGAATCTTTTGAAATGCTCCATGGAACAAAGACTGTTGTTTGTCTTCAGACATATGACGTGAACATTCATTTTACAGACATACAGTGAAATATGCAGTTGTGTGGAAAGCTTCAGGACTAAAGAAAGATTACAACAAATCCCCTTTCAAACCTTTTAGAGATTCTTCAAATGATGGTATCTAATTTGAGAATTTGATACATGTTCCAAGGACTGAATTGTGAATCTTTATAACAAGTAGGAAAAAGGATTGGAAATGCCTAAAAGCTCTAACACCTATGTTTTGGATAAAATGCTCACAAAATATAATTATTGAAAAATACTATTTGGAAGTATAGGATGATTAAGGAAGCCTCTGAAAGTAAAGTTGATTGGCAATTTTGAGTTACTTTCCAACTGAAAACTCTGGTTAGTGGACTTTAAGATGATTTTGTATTTGTGTTTAAAAAGTATGCATCTCTATCCAATTTGACAGCTTAAGTACCAGGCTCTAGCAAGATAAAATCTGTGGTGACTAAGGCAGTGCTTCTTAAATAAGCGCAAATTGAACCTGCCATTCCAAATCACTACCATGTCCTCTGGCAAGACTAGATTAGCACTAACTCTCCCTTGATGAGGGAGTCACCTCAGGCTTGAAACAGCCAGTTTGGATTACCTAGCAAGTTCAGGGTAAAATCAGAGAAGGACACCAGAACTCTGTTCTTTAGCCAGCCCCGTAAAGAATGGAGAATCTTGTAGGGGTGATGTAGTCAACAGTTGGAGACATTTCAGAAGAAAGCATGACTCGTTTCTTTGTCTCTTTAGGCCCATTGATATGACCGAGCAAGCACCTGCCCTCGCTGACCTCTAAAGGTGAGTTGCTGTTACGTTTTTACTTGTTCTTGCTTGACATCTCCTCTTTGTTTCATTAAGTTACCCGACTTTGGTTCTGCTTTGGGCCCGTTGGAATTGGTGTTTGAAATTGTTCTCTGTTCCTTTAGATCCTGGATTTTCCTAACAGACTCCAATTTGGTTTATTCTGTTGGCTTTCTATGCTCTGGGCTGTTCTAGTTTTTGTCCATTTGAAGCTAAGTACCAGGACAATCCACTTGGCTGGCTGGGGGGGTATTCTCTGTGTTTGCAAGGGTACATGTGAGTGTATGGGGGTAGGGGGAGGGTATATACGCAATTTGGATAATCACTCACTAAAATGAGAGGGAGGGAGATATCTAAATAGAAACAAGGGGAGTGGGGAAGAAATGCATTTGCTACTCCTTATTAACCATCTTGAGGTTTAAGATAAATTCTTAATTAGTTGTTTACTTTCCTGCCAAGAATTTTGTCTCAGCTCTCAGATTTTGCTGCCACCTGGTGCTAAAATGTTCCTGGTAGTGAGGACTAAATAGTTTGACAAACTCCAGAAAATATGACCTAAATTCAGAAATAGCATGAATTAGGACACTGGATGGTTAGTGCAATAAATAAAAGATATAACATTAAAAAATAAAACTTGGCCAAAACCGGTTTGGCTCAGTGGATAGAGCGTCGGCCTGCAGACTGAAAGGTCCCAGGTTCGATTCCGGTGATACATAATCTCACTCATATGTGGAATTTAATGAACAAAATAAACTGATGAAAAAATAGATCCAGAAAACTAGAAGTATGAAACAGACTGATGAATTTCAGAGGGAAGGGGGGGTGGGGAAGTGGGTCAGAAGAGATTAACCGGGCAACTTATATGCATATATGGATAGCCCATGGACACAGACAATAATGTAGTAAAGGCCTGGGATGGGTGGGTGCTGGATGGATGGGATCAATGGGGAAAAAAAACCAAAGGGACATCTGTAATACTATTAGCAATAAAGATAAAATTTAAAAAATAAATAAGTAAAACTGACTTAATATAATAAAAAATGAATGTGGCATACCTGTGATAAGTTTATAAGTAATAATAGTAAATTACTATATACTTCTGAGATATCACCATCAAGTGGGAATGATATGTAAGAGATCAGCTCAAGCAGGTCCTGAAGACATAAATAAATTTCATTAATAAGTGGCTCATATTACCATAAAGGCTGTTTCTGCTACATTGGGTCTCCTCTTTCAATCTGCCTCTGTGGTCTCATGGGGCAATCTTTATGATCATCTGATTAAGGAAGAAAAAAATCGGTCAGGTATTTCCACCAAAAATGTTGGCAGAACTGAAGTTGGATACCTACCCTACAGCATTACATCCCCACTGAAGTGTGGCCATGAATGACAATGTGAAAGAGAAATTTTCGCAGTGGGCCAAACTCCAACCATTGCACCTGGTTAGTTCATTAGCCTAGAAGGAGAAATGGCCAAAGGTATGGATTACATTAATTTATGAGCAATGACTAAGGGTTTGGTTGATTGGTTATGGACTTGGAAGGAAGATGATTAGAAAATTGGAGGAAATGAAATATGGAGAAGAGATATGAGGATAGTCCCCTCTGAATATTATAATACTGCTGTGCCAGGTGAATGCTCACCAAGAGCAATCTTACCAGAGAAGGATCTTAATAATCAGGTAGACAAGATGACCATGGCCACTTTATATATGAGTGGATGGGCAAGGACATGAGTGACTGGTGAAAGAGGCTGACTGAATCTACAAAACGGGTCATCTTGTCTACATGGACTTCCTCTCATTAAAGCTACCGCTGAGTCCCCAACTGCTAATAGTGAAGATCAACACCAACTGGGGATATGACACTGCTTTTCAGGCCACCTGGCATCAGGCTGATTACATTGGGCCATTTCTACCATGGAAGCGGAAGGGCATTGTTTTCACTAGAACAGATACTTTTTTGGAAAGAGATTTGCCTTTCCTTCCCATGGGGTTTCTTTCAACCACCCCTTCCCCATCTATAGACTTACAGAATGGTTTATTCATCATCATGGTATCCATATAGTCTCTCTCTTTTTTAAACTACAGAACTTATTTTGCAGATAATGAGTGGTGAAGTACTAGTTTTCCCATCCCCTGGAAGTAGCTGACCTGCTTGAATTATGTAGTAGCCTCTTGAAGACACAGTTTAGTGCCAGGTGGATGGCAAAATTTTGCCCTTTAGAATGGACAAAGTAGACTATGTGTATCCTTTTATTAGATTTTTGTGTATTTTCAGTTGTACCAGTATAGACAGTTGAATTTTGTTATACAAAAGCATGGTCTTGTTGGTGTTTTTATTTGGAAGTTATATATGTCTACAGAAGTGTGTGTAGATACCAAGTTGACAAGGGGTGGACTGTGTTGGATTGTGCTATGCGAACTTGGATGAACTGAGAACTACATTTCCTAGAATTTCATTTTTGTACGATTCTGAGTTAGAGTCAGTCAACAAAGAGACTTGTTCTACATTTGAAAGACAGAAGTAAAAGTAGTGACCAGGTATGTTCATGGACAGATGCAGCGCTGCCTAGTAGGTTCATTTTATCCTTTCCCATTAGCATTTAAACATGTCTTTCCTCTCTTTAAAAATCTTTCACTGGATTTCATTTCCCCTTCCATACTACCCTCTATTCTTTTCTGCTGTGTCCATTTTTACCTTCTCCTCCATCTTCTGCTGCTGGTTTCTGTCAGATCCTTCTCCCTGAAACTGTTCTTACTGTTCTTCTCCTGATGCTCATTCTTTCTGGATTTCTATTACTGCTATATGCTGATGGTGTTCAAGAATTTGCCTTCTCTGAGTTTCATACCTGTGTATCCAAAGGTCTACTCAACACTGCCACCTGGATGATAGACAGGCATCTACAACTAGGCATGTCCATAACTAATCTCATCCTATTTTCCCTCAACACTATACCTCCTGCATATCTCAGTAAATAGCATCACCATCCACTCAGGTGTCCAAGCCAGAAACCTGGTTTGAAAGTTTCCCACTTTTCTTCTTCCCACTGTCACTCTTACTATTTAGATTTCCTTTATCTCTTGCCTGGATTACTGCAACAGTCATAACTCCTGAAGATTCAATTAAGTAATACAACTGGAATGTGCCATAAAAATGCTATGGTTTATCTTCAGTGTAGACCCTGAGAATATGGGACAATAAATCCACTTTATGTGAGAAGTTGCAGCCAATATTGGGTAGCCTAAAGTGAACAAAAGGGAAACACACTTGCACAACAATGGACATTTTTTTAGTTTGTTAGACCTGGTTACAATGATATTCATCCCACAGATACTTACTGATTTCCTAGCATGAGCTAAGAACTGTGCCTGCAGGAGGCACTTCCAAAGCATTGACTCATTGTGTACTTTTTGGGTCCAACATTAAGGTTCTTATTCTTAGGGGGCTTTCAACTTTCTTCAGTTACTACCCATGTCGAATGGTCTCTCAGATGGCCCTATCTAATGTTGAGCTTCTCCCATGGACAGTGTTGCATTGAAATTCTTTCTATGGCCCATGATTTTCAGAGAATAAATGAAGTGCAAAGGAAAAGAAAAAGTCACTCTAGAGATATATGTAAACTGTTGTCTAGATGCAAAACTTATTTTTTAATTCTTTCTTTTTTTAATATATTTTATTGACTTTTTACAGAGAGGAAGGGAAAGGGATAGAGAGTTAGAAACATCGATGAGAGAGAAACATCGATCACCTGCCCTCTGCACACCCCCCACTGGGGATATGCCCACAACCAATGTACATGCCCTTGACTGGAATTGAACCTGGGACCCTTGAGTCCGCAGGCTGACGCTCTATCCACTGAGCCAAACCGGTCAGGGCCAAAACTTATTTTTTGATGACACATAGGGACCATCTCTTTAGGACCCAAATTAAATTGCAAGGAATCTCAGTAATGAATTCAGCCTTGTGTTCAGCCCATTCCTAGAACCTCTGGCTTAATTATGAGAAGAAAACTTATTTATTCTGGGACATCACTACTTTGGTATAAATTCCTGGAAGCCAACAGAAAAGCAAAGGGAAGATCTTTCTCAGAGTCTCTTCTCTGGATTTCTGAGAAAGAAGTGTTTCATGTTTGGCCTGTCAGGTTGCTTTTGGTATCAGCTCACAGACTTATCCCTTCTTTAATTCTTGTTAAGCTTTGATCTCCCTGTCCATCCTGAGGCTGAGGTCTCCTATAGGGGAGTAAGTCCATCTTTCTTGTGTCTTCCTCAGATATCATCTTTCTCTGAGCACATTCTTCATGCTATTAGTTATGAAATACTAAAACAATAATACTTATATAGTAATTTAAATTTTGCAAAACTCTTTTCATGGATTTTAGTTAATTTAATCCTAACAGCAAGAGGTGTGAGGATCCTGAGGCTCAGAGAAGAGTAACTAGCTCTCAGATGACACAAAGAACCCTGATATTCTAACTGGCATCCTGTTCCCACCACTTCTTCTTCTTTTTTAAAATATATATTTTATTGATTTCAGAAAGGCAGGGAGAGGGAAAGAGAGAGAGATAGGAACATTAATCATTGATTGGCTGCCTCCTGCATGACCCCTACTGGGGACTGAGCCCTCAATCTGGGCATGTGCCCTTGACCAGAATTAGACCCAGGACCCTTCAGTCCACAGGCCAATGCTCTGCCCACTGAGACAAACCAGCTAGGTTCGCCATCTCTTCTTAAATCCATCTAGTGGCCAAAGTAATTTCTAGCCCTCATCCGTTTCTAAAATATTCTGAAATATGAATGAAGTCATGTTGATATTGGGGGCCAAGGAACATGATGTTTCTCTTGGGGCCTCGCTTGGTTGTGGGGACCCATGGCCTACCAAGTGCAAGGAAATGCAGAAGGTCTCCTGAGACAGTGGTTCTCAACCTTGGCTACACATTGAACATACTTGGGAGCTCTGAACACTATTGAAGCCGGGCTTCTAGCCCCAGAGATTTTT